GGACATGGCGAGTTTTTTGTGACACCCCAAGGCGTTCTCCTACCACCACACAAAATTTCAAGGGGGGTCGTCGGAGGAAATTTTTTTTCGTAATAGAGCTCATATAAAGAGAATTTCACTCGCGGTCACTTTTTAGCCCTCGTCGAGGGCTTTGAGTGTAACCGTCAGTTTTCCCTAAAGGTCAAGCCATTTACCTAGGAGCATGCAAAAAATTAGCCAGATATACTGAGCTTAAGTACCCTATAGTCTTCGTTGAAATGACCCTCTGTTTTTCCCATAAAATACAAAGATTATATAGGGAAATACAACTGGTCAGTTTTGACCCATTTCCCGATTTTTCCCGGACATGGCGAGTTTTTTGTGACACCCCAAGGCGTTCTCCTACCACCACACAAAATTTCAAGGGGGGTCGTCGGAGGAAATTTTTTTTCGTCATATAGCCCATATAAGGCGCCGGTCAGTCGAGGTCAGTTTTGACCCCTTCTCCGTAGACGTTTCGGCCAACCGTCACCGGCCTTCGTGTTCTATTGCCCGAAGGCACCATCGTGCCAAATTTGACGCGCCTGCGGCGCCGGGAAGTGCCCTATCGGGCACTTGACCACTTTGCTTTATATATATAGATAATCAAATATAACACCTATTTCACTTTTATTTAGATTATTCTTGAGATACTGTCAAAATAAATGCAACAATGTCAGCACAAGAAACAATCACTAATCTTACATAAAACTTCAAGTTTGATAAATAAAGTTTTAATTACTATTATAATAAACCGGGAGTGATCTCCCCTTTACTTTCTTATATGAAACAACAGGAGATGGTAACTCGGGATATAGACATGGCTTTTAATCCATTTGAATACTTAAACTTTTAAAAATCGGATAAAATCTCGTAGAAAAAAGAATTGCACACCTAGTGAACGCCAAATAAAATGCGCATAATAGTGCGGAAAATTATTAGTACTTTATAAGTTCACATGCGTTTTTTTGAGAAATCGGAAATAGCAAAAATTACTGCTGCCGATCAATGGAAATTACTCAAAATTTAAGAGAAGGTAGAGAATTAGATTTTCTACTTACATGTGAAATTTCGTTTATCTATCTGAAATAGTATTCAAGTTATAGGCTTTTGAAAAATTCAAAGTAGAAAAAGTTCCGCTTCCGGTTATCGGAAAAAACTCAAAAGTTGATACGCATCTATGATTTTTATGAAATACTTATATATGAAATTTCATCAACCTAGCTGTAACGGTACTCAAGTTATCGTGTTTATAGACACACACGCACACACAGACACACACACATACACACACACACACACACACACACACACACAGACATACGGACAAGATTGCAAAATTATGTTTATCCGACTAAAGGAGCTGTAAAACTTCGAGATTTTTAAATATCTCGATTTTTTATATTTATTTTTTGCAAGATTACAAGACTTTCTCTGTAGGCCTACTTCTTATATACGAGAAAGTAAAAATAAGTAAACCACTACTACCTATAGTATTATTATTATTGTATGTGTACCGGTATGTAGCGGTATGTAAAATAATAATTAGGCTAATTATGTAGGCCTATAACTAATTTTATTATTTATTTTTCTTCAATAATAATTACTATACTACTTTCTAAGCGAATTAGTCCCAAACAATGTCTATATGAATAAATTATTATCAATACAGAACTATATCTAAGTCATTCTAATGAGCAGCTAGTAAACATTAGTCTAATACTATATTATAATTTTATAACATTATGACACGTTTTACTTCAATAGTAGCACCACACTGTACTTCCTTTATTACATGCTTATTATAATAGCACACTGATTATATGTATGTATAAAGTACTGAGTAAGTGCCTAATGTAAGTAAACTTAAGATACAATAGCCTAAAGCTTGACCATTGTTACAGTATTTGAAACTATTTTTCTGTTATAGTTTACATATTATTATTATAAAAATATGAAAGTATAACTAAACTAAAACAGTGTAAGAAACAACTGGTGACTAGTGTCTACCTACTAAACGTTAGTAACTGTTCTATCGACTAATTATAATACTACAGTAAAGTCACTATAGTCCCAGATGATGACATGGTCGTACCGTTGCATGGTGTATCAAAAATGCTACATAATATGATTGGATATTATCAGCACAAATATAGCAAAATAGTATACAAACAACTTATTTTTAGATAAACTCTCACCTGGGATTGGGAAATATTATTTTCAAGAAGAATAACGTGGTAGGTGGTAGGGTGGTTGTCAGTGTGTTATGTGCTAGGGTGGTTGTCAGTGTGTTACATGGTAGGGTGGTTGTCAGTGTGTTATGTGGCAGGGTGGATGTCAGTGTTGGAACATTGTAGGGTGGTTGTCAGTGTGTTATGTGGTAGGGTGGTTGTCAGTGTGTTATGTGGTAGGGTGGTTGTCAGTGTTATATATGGTTGTGTGGTTGTCAGTGTGTTATGTGGTAGGGTGGTTGTCAGTGTTATATATGGTTGTGTGGTTGTCAGTGTGTTATGTGGTAGTGTGGTTGTCAGTGTGTTATGTGTTAGGGTGGTTGTCAGTGTGGTACGTGGTAGGGTGGTTGTCAGTGTTATATATGGTAGTGTGGTTGTCAGTGTGTTATGTGGTAGTGTGGTTGTCAGTGTGTTATGTGGTAGGGTGGTTGTAGGTGTGGTACGTGGTAGGGTGGTTGTCAGTGTTATATATGGTAGTGTGATTGTCAGTGTGTTATGTGGTAGTGTGGTTGTCAGTGTGTTATGTGGTAGGGTGGTTGTCAGTGTGATATGTGGTAGGGTGGTTGTCAGTGTGTTATGTGTTAGGATGGTTGTCAGTGTGTTATGTGGTACGATGGTTGTCAGTGTGTTATGTGGTAGGGTGGTTGTCAGTGTGTTATGTGGTAGGGTGATTGTCAGTGTGTTATGTGGTAGAGTGGTTTTCAGTATGTTATGTGGTAGGGTGGTTGTAAGTGTGGTATTTGGTATGTGGTAGGGTGGTTGTCTGTGTTATGTGGTAGGGTGGTTTTCAGTATGTTATGTGGTAGGGTGGTTTTCAGTATGTTATGTGGTACGAAGGTTGTCAGTGTGTTATATGGTAGGGTGGTTGTCAGTGTGTTATGTGGTAGGGTGATTGTCAGTGTGTTATGTGGTAGAGTGGTTTTCAGTATGTTATGTGGTAGGGTGGTTGTCAGTGTGTTATGTGGTACGATGGTTGTCAGTGTGATATGTGGTAGGGTGGTTGTCAGTGTGTTATGTGGTAGGGTGGTTGTCAGTGTGGTATGTGGTAGGGTGGTTGTCAGTGTGGTATGTGGTATGTGGTAGGGTGGTTGTCAGTGTGGTATGTGGTAGGGTGGTTGTCAGTGTGGTATGTGGTAGGGTGGTTGTCTGTGTTAATGTGGTAGGGTGGTTATCAGTGTGTTATGTGGTAGGGTGGTTGTCAGTGTGGTACGTGGTATGTGGTAGGGTGGTTGACAGTGTGGTACGTGGTAGGGTGGTTGTCTGTGTTATGTGGTAGGGTGGTTGTCAGTGTGTTATGTGGTAGGGTGGTTGTGAGTGTGGTACGTGGTAGGATGGTTGTCAGTGTGTTATGTGTTAGGATGGTTGTCAGTGTGTTATGTGTTAGGGTGGTTGTCAGTGTGTTATGTGGTAGTGTGGTTGTCAGTGTGTTATTTGGTAGGGTGGTTGTCAGTGTGTTATGTGTTAGGATGGTTGTCAGTGTGTTATGTGGTAGGGTGGTTGTCAGTGTGTTATGTGGTTGGATGGTTGTCAGTGTTAAACATTGTAGGGTGGTTGTCAGTGTGATACGTGGTAGGGTGGTTGTCAGTGTGGTATGTGGTAGGGTGGTTGTCAGTAAGTTATGTGGTAGGATGGTTGACAGTGTGTTATATGGTAGGGTGGTTGTGTTGTGTGTGTGTGTGTGTGTGTGTGAAACATCTGTTGTTATTTTTTCTCGCATTTATGAGAAAAAAATGTGAACAGAATAGAATAATATCATTAATATGATATAAATCAGGGTAAAGACCGTAAAATAAAAAACGAATTTTTGTTTTGAAGCTGAAGTTAGAGTACAAATTGTGGAAATATTTTAGGTAGGCGTTTAGTAGGCGAAAGTAAAATAACTGTGTAGATGGTGTGTGTGTGTGTGGGTTTGTGTGTGTGGGTGTGGGTGTGTGTAAGTTTGGGTGTGTGTGGGGGGATGGGTGTGTGTAAGTGTGGGTGTGTGTGGGGGGTGTGTGTAAGTGTGGGTGTGTGTGGGGGGTGTGTGGGTGTGTGGGTGTGGGTGTGAGTAAGTGTGGATGTGTGTGGGGGACGGGTGTGTGTAAGTGTGGGTGTGTGTGTGGGGTGTGTGGGTATGTGGGTGTGGGTGTGAGTAAGTGTGGGTGTGTGTGGGGGGATGGGTGTGTGTAAGTGTGGGTGTGGGTGTGGGGTGTGGGTGTGTGGGGGGTAGTGTGTGTGTGGGTGTGTGTGGGGGATGGGTGTGTGTAAGTGTGGGTGTGTGTGGGGGGTTGTGGGTGTGTGGGTGTGTGTCGCCGCTGGCCACACATTAACACTGTTACATTGAGTCTTGGCACAGTGGTCCATTCATGTAACTCTTGCTGATCAGCCGTTAAACATTTCTCAACCTAGGCGACGGAATACGGTAATAAATATTTAGAAATTTCGATCAGGGTTTAGTAATAAGTTTTATGAAGTTTTTCAAATTGACCTGTAGGTTTATTTTTTTATGTTTAGGTATATATTATTTATCATATGAACTCTATATCTATCCTACTTTTTACTATTGAGAATCTGGCATTAACTGATTTATATACTGCTTTTCGAGATACCATTAGGGCAAATGCAAAGAAAAGTGGAGCATACCAATGAAAGTGTTCGTGTAGATGAGCATTTGTTTTTGGCAAGTGGCAGCACGTAAAGGGTCATGTTGGAAAACTGTTGGAGACTTGTGGGGGTGTATGTGGGAGGCATGTGGGGGTCTATGTGGGAGGCATGTGGGGGTCTATGTGGGGGTCTATGTGGGAGGCATGTGGGGGTCTATGTGGGAGGCATGTGGGGGTCTATGTGGGAGGCATGTGGGGGTCTATGTGGGAGAGATGTGGGGGTCTATGTGGGAGGCAAGTGGGGGTCTATGTGGGAGGCATGTGGGGGTCTATGTGGGAGGCATGTGGGGGTCTATGTGGGAGGCATGTGGGGGTCTATGTGGGAGGCATGTGGGGGGTCTATGTGGGGGGTCTATGTGGGAGGCATGTGGGGGTCTATGTGGGAGACATGTGGGGGTCTATGTGGGAGGCATGTGGGGGTCTATGTGGGAGGCATGTGGGGGTCTATGTGGGAGGCATGTGGGGGGTCTATGTGGGGGGTCTATGTGGGAGGCATGTGGGGGTCTATGTGGGAGACATGTGGGGGTCTATGTGGGAGGCATGTGGGGGTCTATGTGGGAGGCATGTGGGGGTCTATGTGGGAGGCATGTGGGGGTCTATGTGGGAGGCATGTGGGGGTCTATGTGGGGGGTCTATGTGGGAGGCATGTGGGGGTCTATGTGGGAGGCATGTGGGGGTCTATGTGGGAGGCATGTGGGGGTGTATGTGGGGGGTCTATGTGGGAGGCATGTGGGGGTCTATGTGGGAGGCATGTGGGGGTCTATGTGGGGGTCAATGTGGGAGGCATGTGGGGGTCTATGTGGGGGTCTATGTGGGAGGCATGTGGGGGTCTGTGTGGGAGGCATGTGGGGGTCTATGTGGGAGGCATGTGGGGGTCTATGTGGGAGGCATGTGGGGGTCTATGTGGGAGGCAAGTGGGGGTCTATGTGGGAGGCATGTGGGGGTCTATGTGGGAGACATGTGGGGGTCTATGTGGGAGGCATGTGGGGGTCTATGTGGGAGAGATGTGGGGGTCTATGTAGGAGGCATTCGGGGACCCATGTGGGGACTGTGCGAGGAATGTGAGGGTCTATGTGGGAGGCATGTTGAGGCTATGTGGGAGGCATTTTGAGGTTATGTTGGAAGCAAGTGGGGGTCTATGTGTGAGACATGTGGGGGTTTTTGTGGGAGGCATGTGGGGGTCTATGTGGGAGTCATTTGGGGGTCTACGTTGGAGACATAATTCTGTGTGTATGCGAGTCATGTGGGAGACGTCTAGAAAATACTTGGGTATTTATATTTACTATTAATAATATATATTAAAATCCTGTGTTTTAGTATTACTTGACCATCCAGGATGTATCGATTTTGTATTTGAAACACACGGTACACATTGTTTTTATTGTTCTGAAATTTTGAAGGCGAATGTGTTTTCTGCGTGGTTTTTTTCGATTGTTAAACGGCGTCTTGTTTTATCCAGTAAAGTGATTCAATTTTAAATTATCTACATTTTCAATCCCCATTTTTTTCCCCCTATAAACCTACGGGGTTCGTTCTACAACCTCAAAAACAGTCAGGGGTTGTTGAAGTTAGGATTTTTCATGATATGCAGGTTAATGATGCCGGCATCAGAGTCAAACCATTAAACAGAAAAATAAAACACTTCATAATGATAAATGGCAAGTGATGTGTAGGTTAAGTTTTTCAGAATATGAAATAAAAACAAGCCATTAAAATACTTGAATACTTTACAAAATAAAATGATTTTATACATACCACAGAATGGCCAGACTCTTATGTATACAATGGAAAATGTCTTCGTTATATGAACGAGCTCAAAAGCTGGGATGCCGCGCTGGTAAGAGTTAACAATAATTATCTATATATATAATTCTCTTCTGGGAGACGCTAGAAAACAAGCTGTAAACGCGCTCCCTACCATCCCCACCCCTACATGGTCTTAGTGAGCTGTGGTTCACGCTATGTTTACCTTCGTGGAGTCGGGTTTAGTGACGGCTATTAGGGGCAGATAATTTAGTTTGAAAGGGGGGGGGGGGGGGTTATGGTCCTTAACGAGCTACTTATAGTGTTTTAAAGAAATATTTTCAGTGTCAGCATTGGTACTGTCGAATTCACAAATTATGAATTACTGAAAAGTAGAAAAAACAACAACTAAATAGCGGCGTATGTTATGCCGCGGGCCGGCTCGTTAAATATTATTTTCAGAACAATAGCAATTGCAAAAAAACTTGAAATGAATAGTAACATGCACGCTAAGACTTGCATGTTGCTGATCACCTGTTTGGTAAGAATGGTCTGTTGAGAGGGGCTGATCTTTTGTATGGTAAGACTGGTCAGTTAAGAGGGGCTGATCTTTTGTATGGTAAGACTGGTCTGTTGAGAGGGGCTGATCTTTTGTATGGTAAGACTGGTCAGTTAAGAGGGGCTGATCTTTTGTATGGTAAGACTGGTCTGTTGAGAGAGGCTGATCTTTTGTATGGTAAGACTGGTCTGTTGAGAGAGGCTGATCTTTTGTATGGTAAGACTGGTCTGTTAAGAGAGGCTGATCTTTTGTATGGTAAGACTGGTCTGTTAAGAGAGGCTGATCTTTTGTATGGTAAGACTGGTCTGTTAAGAGAGGCTGATCTTTTGTATGGTAAGACTTGTCTGTTGAGAGAGGCTGATCTTTTGTATGGTAAGACTGGTCTGTTAAGAGAGGCTGATCTCTTGGATGGTAAGAATAGTCTGTTGAGAGAAGCTGATCCCTTGTATGGTAAGAGTGATCTGTTAAGAGAGGCTGATCTTTTGTATGGTAAGAATAGTCTGTTGATAGAGGCTGATCTGTTGTATGGTAAGACTGGTCTGTTGAGAGAGGCTGATTTTTTGTATGGTAAGACTGGTCAGTTAAGAGAGGCTGATCTTTTGTATGGTAAGACTGGTCTGTTGAGAGAGGCTGATCTGTTGTATGGTAAGATTGGTCAGTTAAGAGAGGCTGATCCCTTGGATGATAAGACTGGTCTGTTGAGAGAGATGGGTAACTTAAACGATTAAACTGATCATTTGTCGGTCAGTCAGAATAGAATATTTATAAGACTACCGAAATGATATAATTGTGTTGCTTGACATCTTGCTAACTATGTTTAAGCAGCCTTCTTCCCGTGCTGCATGATAGCATTTGTAAACAGAGGCGAAGCGAGGGCGGGGCAGGGGTTGAGGGCCGCACCGGGGGGCACCACTTACAGGGGAGACACCTAGGCGAAAAATGTACAGAAGAAAAATGACATTTTGCCCGATCTATTATTGAGTAATTAAAGTTAATTAGTCTTTTAAGTAGCCTACAAATCGACGTTTATTACATGAAGTTAAGGGTTACACAATGACATAAACGTGCTCACTATAAAAATAAACCGGGAGTGATCTCCCCTAACCTTTCACAAATATTCTTATATAAAACAACAGGGGTTGGGAACTCGGGCTATAGGCATGATTTTTAATCAATTTTAAATACATGAAGTTTTTAAAATAGAATAAAATCTCGTAGAAAAACGAATTGCACACCAAGTGAACAATATGCAATATGTGTATAATAGTGCCGAGTATTAGTACTTTATAAATTCATATATGAGTTTTTCGATAAATGGAAAATATCGTAAAGTACTACTTGCGTTAGACGGAAATCACCTTAAATTGACCAAACGGCAGGAAATTAAATCTTTTACTTATATTTGAAAATGTGTTTATCTATCTGAAACAGTACTCAAGTTATAGGCTTTTGAAAGACCAAAAGTAGAATAAGTTCCACTTCCGTTTACAGGAAATCGATCAAAAGCTGATACAGAATTAAAAAATTGATATAATACTTATACATGAAATTTCATCAAAATAGCTGTAATGGTACTCAAGTTATCTTGTTAAAACAGATATACAGACATACATACATACACAAAAACGGACAGAATTGTAATACCAAGTTTTTTTTCCTACTCAATTACGCGTTAAACGCCGAAATTTCGATAAATCTTGATATAAAACTTCTACCCGATTAAAATAGATCATCTATACTACGTATATGATGAAGTACTGAGGTGTAAATGGTGAAAACTGTCGAAATTGCAAGCGATTTTTGTGAACGATTACAATACGTCCTTTTTACTCTGTATACGATAAGTAAAATAAAATAAACAACGAGACTACAGGTTCAGAACAATTTGGAAATTGTTTTTAAAATTCATACTTAAAGAAATATTGATTGTATTTAGGCAGATATTACTGGGATTTAGTATTATCATTTACAGTTGAAACAACATTTAAAACGCATTGGCAAGTCAAATATTATCTGCTTTAGTTTTATGCTCTATTTGTCTCATCCTCCAGACTTCATGTGTAGATATGGGAGGAACTCTGGCAACAGTAGCGGATTTAACTGAATGGGACGATATAAAATCTTATGTTGGTATAGGTGAGTAAAAACAAAAATTATACTGCCTAGCTTCGATTTGGTTCTCAAAAACATTGGAGAACTCACCGACCACTTTGCTTTATATAAAGGATTTCATGCGTCGTCAAACGGCAAGTAATATATTATCGGATCGATGTGTTAATTTAGATACGCGATGTAATCTGAAACATGATTTCATTTTTTTAAAATCAATACATAAGTATACACAGTTTTACAGAATCGTGTAAATATTCTATCTCATATTCACAATCTTAAAATAAATAAATCCTTGGGATTCATATTCAGCAGAGTAACTAGAACTTTTTTAATCTCTGTTTTAAATCACTGTTCGACTTGTTTTTAAGACTTTTCATTGTTAGAGTTCAATGTAAACTTGCAGGTCCTGTCGACGTCTGGATTGGCGCCAACAAAAAGACTAATGGAGTAACGTTTGTTTGGACCGAGGATCTCAGTCCAGCTACACAATTAACCGGGATGTGGGATATCGGCGATCCAAAATCTACAGCTGGATATGATTGTGTTTATTTGTTGTCAACGGCTTTCAACGCTCCTTGTTCAACTACATACACTTATCTTTGCATGGAACCAAGTAAGTGTATATACGTTTGCATGAATTAATATTAGTTACCGACTTTTTACCTTAATGAGGAGGGTGAGTCTCATAAGATATTTGGCATCATTACCCAATTTAAGTATATAATCGAACCTCAGCTCCACTAATAAAATACCGAAGAGTCTGTCCATTGTATATAAATAATATAACTAATTGGCTTATGTCGCTAAAATATGTACACAGATCTCATTAGCGACCAAAGCATATATTAAAGAAAGGAAGTCAGTTTAATTTTCCTATTGTCAGTGCATTAAAAGCTTGTTCCTTTAAAAAAAAAATTCTTTATTTATTTTCTACTTTTTAGTGATTGTTAATTCATGAATTCGACAAGACTAAAAATATTTCCCTCAAAACACATCGGCAGATAGCGATACCTAACAGATGATTATCGGTCCACTAACAAACAAACAGACGTTTTGAACTAAATAAAAACTTGTAAAAAGGCAGTGGCTGTTAGATTTTGGAGTTGTCTCTCCTAGATGAGTTGGTGTTTCAGACTGTGTAGCTTCATCTGCCCAGGTGATCGAACTAGGATTTTACAACAATAAACTTTACTGTCCCGAACACGCTGACCACTGTTCCCATTCTAGTTATGACTTTTCTACAATAATTTTCAGTACTGTTCTACTCCTCCATGATGATGGAATGTTCCACACATGCTTTTCATACCATCTCTTCAAATGATATTTGTAACTTTCAACATTTAACATGTATAATGCACTTATTGTATATAATGATTGCTTTTTTGTATGGTGTTTTATCGTCGCTAGATTTCCAGACTTTGTACATTACAGAATCCAGCCAAGTATTCTATTATCTTGAGTTGTACACCTGAATTAAAGTATTTATTTCAGATGTTTCTGTAACAATTGTGTTTTTAATAGTGTGGATAACACTGAACAAAATCGTGTGTCGTGTGTTGTTTTCTGTTTTTTAAAAAGTATTTCTTAATTCTTAATTAATACTTTTATTATTTAACGATTTTCTTCAGACCATGGAACAACGAAATGCGATATACCTGCAGCACCTACAACAGCAGCGACTACCACAGGTGAGATTA